CCACGCAGGCTCCCACGCCCACCGCCCACCTCCTGCCCAGCAGCGTGGCTGGCAGCTCTGGGGCTCAACCCGGGGATGAATTCTGCTTAATTACACGCGTGCTGACAGGGCAGGCTACAGATGTTTGCAATTTGATTTAAAATGCATCAAAAAAGTTCAAGAGGATGCATGGATGCGTGGAGGAAGAGAAGTGGATGCGGGGAGGGGGACAGGGAGAGGTGGGGAGAGGAGGGTAGAGAGAGGGGGGAGGGACGGGGGAGACGGGGCTGGGAGAGACGAGGAGTCACAGAGCGGCCACAGGGAATGTCTGTGATGGGTCGGATGGTGGGAAAACGGGTTCCTGTGAAACTTTCAACTTTGCTGGCGTGAGAATGTACAGGAGCTTCTGGAGAGACCCACCCGCTACACATGGGCCCCGGGCCAGGCCCAGCACTGAGTGCCCTCGCCCGCGGGGGGCGCCTGGCCCTCTGCCCTGACACCTCAGGAGCGCTCGGGGCTTGTGGCCCGTAAGAAACCCCAATGTGGGGAGCACCTGTCACCCTCCGGGTAGGAGGCCGCCCGGCTGGGAGCTGTCGCCTGTGCTCCCAGCACCAGGCATGCGTCCCTCCAGGGCTGGTCACAGCCCTTCCCTTGGTTCTGGGAATCCGAGGCCGGTCACCCCCCAAGCTTCTGGCCAAGACACTGAGCAGAGGACAGGCCCGGGGAAGGCAGGTGTGTGCAGGCACGGGGCACAGGCACACGCTCCCCTGTTCCCTGGCATTCACATAGACAGTCTGCTCCCCGAGCCCTGCTGTAGGCATAGCGAGGGCCCCGCTGCCGCCGGCCCATGGCCCCTGACACTTGCTCACGTGCCTTTATTTCAGGGATGTTCAAACCCTATTCTGCCTCTAAAAAGGGGTGTCTGAGCCCTGGCCGGTGTGCCTCAGTGGGTATAGTGTCGGCCTGCACACTGAGGGTCCCGGGTTCGATTCCCAGTCAGGGCACATGACGAGGTTGCGGGCTCGATCCCCAGTGTGGGGCGTGCAGGAGGCAGCCAATCAGTGATTCTCTCATCACTGATGTTTCTCTCTCTCCCTCTCCCTATCTGACGTCAATAAAAATAGATTTAAAGAAATAAATAAAAGGGGTGTCTTAGTCAATGGAGTGTTGGCTAACTGTGGGCCTCAGCCTCCCCACCTCTAAATGGGGTCCCCGAGTTCCCCGTCTTTCTGAAGGCTCCTGGGAGGCTCTACTCGAGCCAGGTCAGAATGCACAGGTCACCCAGGAGCCAGCACCTCAGGAGGCTGCACCACAGGCGCGTGGAGGCCCCAGGCCCGGAGCAGGCCCGCGTGAGTGCCCCGCTCCCTCCCGCCCAGCGGGGAACTGAACCCCAGAAGCTCCAGGCACAGGCTCCCAATGACGGCAGCCGCAGCTGAGCTTCATCAATCAGACTCCGCCAGAGGGAGGGGGAGGGGCTCGAGGCGGACACACGCCAGGCGCTGAACGCTGCGGGCCCCTCCCCACCTCCATCTG